AGTTTAATCCCTACTGAATCATGCTTTTCTACAAGTATGGCACAAAATCAAGTTGTCCATCAGTGAAAGGAGGGACATAACCTTCAGAAAGACCTCTGGAGGTCAAACTAAATGTCACATTTTATGTGTTTTGACTAGTGCTGTCAAACGATTAATCGCGATTAATCACATTCAAAATAAACATTTTTGTTTACAGAATATATGTGTGTGTACTGTGTATATTTATTATGTACATATAAATACAAGCACATGCATGTATGTATTTAAGAAAAATATGTTTATATATTAAATATATTTATATATAAGAATATGAATATAGAATTGTATAAACATAAATATTTTCTATATATATATATATAGTATGTGTGTGTGTATTTATACTGTATATACATAATAAATATACACAGTACACATACATATATATAATGTAAACAAAACCTTTTATTTTGGATGAGATTAATCATTTGACAGCATTGGTGTACATATTAAATACATTTATAAATAATATGAATTATATGAATATACATATATGCATGTAAATACATGTAAATATTTTCAAAATATATACATGCATGTGTTTGTATTTATATATACATATAAAATATACACAGTACACACACATATATTATGTAAACAAAAACTTTTAATTTGGATGCGATTAATCGTTTGACAGCACAAGTATTTTTTTTATCAAATAAAGCCTTGGTGGGCAGAACCATTCTTTAAAAATTTTTACAAATCATACCAACCCCTACATTTTGTAACAATTTTTGGTTGCACTTTATTTTAAGGTGTCCTTGTTACAGTGTAATGATACATTTAAGTACTGAGTAATATTAATTAACTACATGTACTTATTATATGGTTAGGGTTCGGATTAGGGTTTTGGCGTGCATAATTTATTGTTGTTATAATAGTAAGTACATGTAATAAGGACACCTTAAAATAAAGTGTTACCATTTTTTTCATGTGACTTCGGTAACAGGATTATATGATTGAACTTGACAATTGCAGAAAACAGTTTGGGAAAAGGGGATTTGATGTGTTTAAAACTAGCCATCTCTCTCATGCTGGATTACATTAGATATCTAAGATAAACCATTAACATTTCAAAGAAGATGGAATTTGTGTTTCCGTTGCTTTTTGAAAAGTAATGGAACACCAATTTGTACACAATTTGTGGAAAATAGCATAAGGTGCTCTAATTTCACTTCATATCCTGTATATTCTGCTACAGGATGAAGCTGATAACAAAAGAAGTGGCCAAGTACAGGGCTGGTCTGGCCTGTGCTCCTATGCATTTCTTCCAAGTGATCTACAACAAGCACACTTTGACCTTAGATGACCTTTCAACACTTGATGACCAAAACTGGGTCAATGATCAGGTAGGCCTCTTTGAAATCCAACAGCATATACATGTACACTGAATTCATGCAGGATTTGATGCATGTGTTTTTACAGGTGATTAACATGTATGGAGAACTGATCATGGAAGCTACAAATCATAAGGTAAAAGCATTAATGGCATCCAACGGCAAACACTGTTCTGAATATCGGACCGGATCACAGCTGAACTGAGATTCACAACTGAGTGTGTGATATATTGCTTACATTTATTGCAAAAGGTTCAGTCAAAAGCTGTGTTTAGTTGAATAATCAATATTTTGGGGGCAAACATGTCTGTAGTGTTGCAACATATAAAGCTCAGCTCACATAGTAGACTTTCTGTTGGTGAGCAATGCAAATTTGTGTGACCAACTTAAACCTGTTGTGGGGGAATCGTTCGCCCTCATGAGAAATGCCTGTTAAATTACTAGAACATTTGCCCAGGAAAATTTGCAGAACAACAGTAAATGTGACCACTTATTAGCTCTGATAATTATAGTTATTTCATATACAGTAGTAGGTATGCATTACTGGCATAATAATAATAATACAAATAATAATAATAATCATACTTGGTTTCTGTATGTTATGGCTCTTATCTTGCGAATGAATCAATGTTGTTGCATTATTTCCTCTCATAACTTCTGACGCCTTGTCATTTTCTAGGTTCATTTCTTCAACAGTTTTTTTTACCGACAGTTTGTAGCAAAAGGTTATGAAGGAGTGAGACGATGGACCAAAAAGGTGAATGTCACGGCATGCAAACATCACACACAGATGCAAAAAGCTTGCATCTCATGCGTTTTTGTTTATTGCATGATAACAAGTCTCCTGTAAGGTTTTTGTCCTTCCTAAGTCAACTTTTTGTTCTTTTCAACACTTGCTCAGTGAAAGGAGGTGATTAAAGCATTAATTCACCCAAAAGTATAATTTCTGTTATCATTTATCTTACTTGTTTACATTTTGTGCTGCGATAACACACAAGAAGATAGTTTGAAGAACATTGGGAATCAAACAACATTGAAGCCCATTGACTTCCTTTGTAAAAGAAAAAAAAGAAGCACATTTCTTAAAATTCTACTTATTTGTTTAATTGTTTTCTTTCTAAAGAATATGGAATTGTGTCTCATTACTGTTATTTTAAGGAATAGAGGCACTGTACAAACAATGAATTATGTAAATGACAAATTATGCACAATGCCTAATGTCTCCTGTCTGTGCATATTTGCTCAGGTTGATCTGTTTTCTAAGACACTGATCCTGATTCCTCTGCACCTGGAGATCCACTGGTCGCTCATAACCCTGGACGTCTCCAAGCAAAGCATCAACTTCTACGACTCCCAGGGCATCCTGTTCAAGTTCGCTGTGGATGTGAGTGCTTTTGAAGGGTGATTCAGACTGAAATCCTCTCAGAGGCCTGACGAGTGTGACTCTCATCCACAGAACATCCTGAAGTACATCCTGGCAGAAGCCAAGGAGAAGAAACAAGCCGTGTTTCAGAAGGGCTGGAGGATGGTCGTCAACAGGACCATTCCACAGCAGAAGAACGACAATGACTGTGGGGTTTTTGTCCTGGAGGTAAGAAATATTAGTGTATAGTAGGGTTGGGTGGATTGATGATACACAGCGCAGTGGTCCTTTATATTGTGCTAAAAGTACCTAGATATATTCATGGCTGTCAGTGGGCAGGACTGGGCAAGAACGACCTCTCACAAACAAGCTAAAGGCCTGTTCACACCGAGACAAATGTATAGTGTGAACATTTCAGTTTGAACGGCACGAACATCTAAATGCCGTTTTTTTTTTTTTTTTAACACAGAGGTGTTATAATTGCTTTTCTGAAAACTGGCCAACTAGTAAGATTCACACTTTTGGTTACATGTTCAGGACCAATGCTGTTACATAAAACTTAGTGGCAACTTGGTTGCATTTTATGCATTGGTCTAAACAGACAAATCAAATGTGAATATTTGACCAAATTTTTATAAATTTGTCAAAAAAATTAGGAAAATTTGGGATTTTTTTTTTTTTTTAAATCATCATGAAATAAAAATTCACCATATATATATTTTCTAAACGCACAGAGATTTCATCCCTGCATATGTTTTTAAAATATTTTTTTTAGTGCTGTCAAGCGATTAATCGCATCCAAAATAAAAGTTTTGTTTACATAATATATGTGTGTTCTGTGTATATTTATTATGTCTATATAAATACACACACATACTGTATATATTTTTAAAACATTTACTTGTATTTACATGTCTATATTTATATTGATATAATTTATCTTATAAATAAATATACTTAATATATAAACATAACCTATTTTTCTTAAATATATACATGCATGTTTATATATACATACTAAATAAACACCGTACACACACATATACTGTGTGAACAAAAACGGTTATTTTGTATGCGAGTTATCCTTCTACAACACTAGTGTTTTTTAATGGTTTGAAATCGTAATGTTTAATCGAAAAGCCGTAAGTGGACTTACCAGTGAAAACAAGACAAACAAGCAATGCATAGATAGCGCTAAGCATGTAACGTATTTATTTACAAAAGAAAACAGGATACAGAAGAAAAGATTTGTCGCTACTTCCGCTGCATCGCAAATTTCATATCTGATTTGTGTTGTTTTATGCATTAGTTGTTAATGGTTGTTGAGTAACATAACTTGCTGCTTCGATATTGAATTCAGTTGATACATTTATGATGTAGTCACATAACTTTTTCCACTTATCCGCCATAATTATGATTGTCAGTGGGAAAAGCAATGGTATAATAAATTAATACAAAAAAATTCATACTAAATCACACAAATGAACAATTATAAAACGGATTAGATTAGATTCAACTTTATTGTCATTGCACATGTAAGGTACAAGGCAACGAAATGCAGTTAGCATCTAACCAGATGTGCAATAAGCAGTAAGTACAGGATATACAGTGTCTCCCAATATGTTACAAATGTACAATAAATATACAGATAAGGCAGTACTATGGACACAATTTCCAGATTTTTAAATACTATCAGCATGATATACAGATAGGTGTACTATGAACATACTATACAGATGGATTATGTAATAAGTTTATGTACACTATAAGCAGAAAAGTATGAACATATGAACATCATTTACAAATGAATATGTAAGCGATACATTAAGCAGTACAAAACACAAGTGCAATGGACATTTAAAAAAGTGCATAGAAAATATTCCAGTGTGCAAATGGATCATTCAGTATTCTGGATGTACAGACAGTAGTGCAAGTAATAACAAGTTTAACAGTTTGTGTTTTTTTTTATTTATTTTTTTGGTAAACCAGATGTGGTGAGGAGTGTGAGTGTGGTGTGTGGGGGGGAGTCAGCGGGCAGAATTCAGTAAGGAGACAGCTGTAGGGAAAAAGCTGTTCCTAAGTCTGCTGGTCCTTGTCCGGAGGCTCCTGAAGCGCCTCCCGGAGGGCAGGAGGTTAAACAGTCTATGGTCAGGGTGAAAGGAGTCCTTAAGAATGCTGCGAGCTCGACGTAGACAGCGTTTCTTCTGGATGTCCTCAATAGCAGGAAGTGGTGTCCCTGTGATGCGTTGGGCGGTTTTCACCACCCTCTGCAGTGCCTTGCGGTCAGCAACTATAGGATAGGATAGGTCCGGTCCTGGATTCTGATTGGTTGAGCCACTTTCGAAGCTGTTGTAAATTACTCTACAAACATACACCTTTGTTTACGTTTTTCTGATGCTTGGCAACCACTTTCTGAGGAACTATATTGTTTCGTGGAAGAATACTGTTTTTATTAATATCATTACACTTAATTTGCTCAGTTTTATTTTGTGAAACCTTACTACGTATATGGAATAACCGTCTTATAAAAGCAATAAGCCCCGTGAAGCCATGGTTTACAGTGAATTTATAACAGCTAAGGGGTGTTGTTAGGCACGATGCAATAAATTCACTGTAAACCACGGCTTCTTGGGGCTTATTGCTTTAATATAATATCCAAAATAAATTTCCACAGACCAATGACAAAAAAATTAATCACTAATAAGATCTCACACATTTCGATGTTCAGATGAAAAATCAAGATTAATAAGAGGCTAATGTTGTACTTCATTTATATATCCGTAATAAAATGACTTGTGATCAAACTGAGCATCTTTTTTATTTGGCAGTACTGCAAGTGCCTGGCGTTCATGAAGCCGCTGCTGTTCACTCAAGAGGACATGCCTCGCGTCCGCAAGAGGATCTACAGAGAGCTGTGTGACTGCAGAATGTCCGACTGTCTAAACCAAGACAAAGCCACATAGACTCCAGACTCGTAGACTGGTGTCTGGATGACGAACGCAACCTGAGGGAAAGGACTTCACAGCAGGACAAAGAAACCCAAAGCTGGAAGTTCCCAATATTTGAGCCTGTCCAATCATTCCTGTTGGTTTGCTGGAGTTCGTCAGGTCGTGTTTACCTCTTCGCAGTACATCGGCGGCTCAGATATGCCTTTTTCCAGCTTCCTCAACCTCAAATTTAACCAAGCCTGTGACGACCTCTCAGAGAAACGAACGGGAGATGCGCAGCAATGGAGACTTTTTTTCTGTTTCTGGCAACCACAAAGATTCAAAACCTCACAAGCGTGTGGATATTTGTTTTTAAACGTATTTTATTTTAAATTTCATTTATAACACAGCCATTATGTGTTTCTATCAGGTTTCTTTTGGTAAAGAACATAGCTGTTGCTTTGCAGCATGAAACTTGAAGGACTTTGTAGTTTATAAATGTCACAACGTTGTTGAGGTGCAAGAAGCATTCAATGAATGTACTGTCAAACACCAGAATTCTGCTTGTACGGTCAAGCTTGTAACTTGAAAGCAAATTTTGTGGCGATACTCTTAAAGTCCTGGACCAGATTGCTTTGTTAGCATTTGATCATCCTCTAAATATGTTCCCAGATGTTTCTAATGAAAAAGCCGCAGGATTGAAGCTTAATATCAGGCTGCTTAATGTAAACTGCCAGCATTATTTGGCCATTCTGTTGTTGCAAACTGCTGTTCTCTCAATTCTGAGCACTTTCCGTTGTTTTTCCTCGAATGCATCAGCGGTTAAAATGGATTTTGTAGCATGTAGATTTGTCGTTAATTGAAGTCAGTTAAAGGTCATTTTTAAATGAGCACAGTGCGGTGAAAGCTGCAGGTTTCTGCCTTTTTATTTATACTCTTTTTAATGGTGAAGACTGATCTGAAAAATATCATCGAAACCTGCCATTCTGTCACAAACACTGAAGGTCAAGCTAAATTTGGAGCCCGGTCTCATGAAAATGCGTATAAATAGTACGCCAAATAAAAACAGAAATTCGTGGTATTGATCCGCAAAAATTTACTTTGTTGTGCATATGATACGCAGTTCCCTTTCGATTCGGTCACTCTACGTTGCTATGGGAATTACCCTTTCCTCCAAATACTACTGAAGCCTTATTGAATCACGCCACTCTATATAAAGCAGCACTTGTACGTCATCCATTCAGAATCTTTTCCTTCAGCCAAACTTCTACGAGAAGCAAGAAGCCTATCATCAAGAGTACTGTGATCTACACGCTGCAGCGGACACGCCTTCTCTCCCCTGCTGTGCTCCTGTGAGCTTCGGACAAGGATGACCTCTCGCGATTGCCTCTCCTGCGCGGAGCCAATCGAACTCTCTGATGGCCACGAATTGTGCGTCTTTTGCCTGGGACCCATGCAAAGGCGATGCTTGGGGGGTCGGACTGCCCCCACTGCGGAGATATGAGCCTTTGGACTCTCAGGCTCCGTGTTACCATCGTCCAAGGCTATGAACTCGCTCAAATAGCTTTGCCATGTTCTTCCTCTGCAGCCTCTTTTGAGCCAAGGAGTAAAGTGCAGCGAGCTTCCGATGTGGATCAGGTGACGAGCTCGCGCCGGCTCAGTGGCCACGCGCTACTGCAGGTTCCCTTCCAGTGCGCTTCATGACTGCTGATCTCCGTCCCTCCAGGATGAAGATGATGCCATTTCGATGGCAGCATCTGCGAGAGAGGAGTGGTCCAACAGCTCCCGCTGGATTACACTGTGCCCCACGGCAGCAACGCGGGGGACCTCCATCATAGTGATGTCGAGCTCCTAAGCGTCCGGACCAAGGCGGTGGATGAGCTCGGTTTGGAGTGGGCGCCTCCTGCAGAGCTGGCCAGAAGCCGTCTGGACTAGTGGTACCTCCAGTCGGACCGCGGCCAAAAGGACACCAGCCCAGGCCCAGCCCCCTTTTCCCGGAGGTGCACGATGAAATAACTAAGTCGTGGAATGTGCCGCTCTCACCAGTCGCGTGCACAATCCGGTATCCTCCCTCCTGTCATCTGTGGACTGCGCTGACCGAGTGGGGTACGTTAAACTTCCCCCCGTGGAGGAAGCTGTTGCTGCCCACCTCTGTCCTGCAGCTGCGGCGAACTGGAGAGTGAGAAACAATGCGTCTCTCCCCTCTAAACCTTGCAGCGCCACCGCAAACTTCGCTGGCAAGGCTTTCTCCACAGCAGGCCAGGCAGCTTCAGCACTGCACGTCATGGCGATACTCCAGGTGTATCAGGCCAAACTTCTCAAGTCTCTGGATGAGGGTGGCCCTGAAGTCTTCAAAGAGCTGCAATGCGTGCGATCGGCCGCAACATCGGGAATCTTGTAGTGCTGGATCATCACCTGTGGCTTACCCTGACTGAGTTGAAAGACTCAGAGAAGACGACCCTTCTGGATGCACCGGTGAATCCATCAGGTCTCGTTGGAGCAGCGGTGGAGACGTTCATGGAGCGCTTCGTTGAAGTGCAAAAACAGTCTAAGGCCATTAATCACTTCCTGCCAAAACGCCCCAACGTGAACCCTCCTGCATGTTCCCGCTCCTCCTCAGTTCCCGAAAGCCTCTTCTGCTGCTGTTCACCGCGAACATGAGCCGGCGGTGAGGCCAAGAAAGCCGTGGCCGAAGTGCCGTCAGGGCTCCAAGAGCCAGAGGCCCCGCCCTGACAGAGGCGGTAGGCCACTGGCTCCGGAATCAAAGCCGCGTTCCTGACGCTGTCTCTCGGAGGAGAAAAGCTGCACCCAGCGCCGAAGACGAGCCACTGAAGAAGTCTGCTCGCTCCGCTGTGCGTGTTCACCTGTTGCGGGCGGCAAGAACGATTGTCATGTTTGTGTTTTGACTGTTCCACTATGCAGTGCAATAAAGTAAAAAAAAATACAAAACTCACCTCAATATCAGGGCAATATTGAACTCCCCTCTGCCCCATCACTCATTCTCACACTCGTGTGGTATTAAACTCCCCGCCCCCCAACAGGGAGTTATCCGTCACAGTGTGCAGCCCGCCTCGCCCGCTGTCACAGTTCACAGAAGCGTGGCAGACGCTACCAGGGGTGTCAGAGTGGGTTATGAAATCAATAAACAATGGCTACACGCTTCAGTTCTTCTGCAGACTGCCCCGTTTCAACTGTGTGTTTAATGTCCACTGTATGGGAGCAGAATGCCTTAGTTCTGCGAGAGGAAATACACAATCTTCTCGCAAAACGCGCTGTAGAGACAGTGCCCCTTACAGATCGTGAGAGCGGCTCCTACAGTCGTCATTTTCTGGTGCCAAAGAAAGACGGCGGACTCCGCCCAATCTTGGATTTGAGACCGCTGAATCGCGCGCTTTCGAAGCGTTCGTTCAAAATGATTACACTAAAGCAAATCCTCTCACACATCAGCTTGGTTTATCTCCGTGGATTTAAAGGATGCTTATTTCCACATTCAGGTACCCCCCCGCCACAGGCGCTTCCTGAGATTTGCATTTGAGGGGATAGCGTATAAATTCACCCTCCCCTTTGGTTTTTCCCTGGCCCCTCGTACGTTTACGAAGTGCATGGATGCTGCTCTCTCTCCACAAAAGCAGAGCGGAATGCACATCCTGAACTATCTCGACAATTGGCTAGTCTTAGCCCAATCAAAGAGCGCGCTGCTCAGCGACAAGCTCAGACTTCTTGCTCATGTTCAGAGCTTAGGGCTGACTGTGAATATGCAAAAAAGCATGCTGGTACCGAGCCAGAGCATCTCCTTTTTAGGAGTGAAGCTGAATTCAATCAATATGCAAGCGCTTCTGTCGGAGGAGCGCACACAAAAACTGATCTGCTCTCTTGCAGTCTTCAAGCTAGGACACTCCCCCGCTGATTTGCTTTCAGAGGACGCTCGGCCAGATGGCTGCCGCCTCAATAGTGTGCAAATTAGGATTCCTACATATGCGACCGCTTCAGCTCTGGCTGAAAAGTCGCATGCCACAGAGTGCATGGCGCGCTGGCACCTTGCGTGTACGAGTAACGCGTGACTGCTTGAAGGCACTGACCCCTTGGCGCGATATGACACTGTATCGCCGAGGTTTTCCTATTGGCCAAGTGATCAGGAGAAAGACTGTTACGACAGATGCATCGAGCACGGGTTGGGGAGCCGTATGCGACGGCTGACCAGCCTTCGGGACGTGGTCAGATACGGAGAAGTTGTGGCACATAAACTGTCTGGAGCTCCTTGTTGTACACCTAGCGCTCGAGTGCTTTCTCCTGGACATTCTCCACTGTCACGTTCTCATCAGGACGGACAACATGATAGTGGTAGCGTTTATAAATCACCAAGGGGGTGTGAGCTCGCGGCTGGCAAGAGACCTTCTTCTGTGGGCAGATCAACACCTCCTCTCCATCCGGGCAGTACATGTCCCCGGACGCCTGAATCACGGCGCAGACTTACTGTTGAGGGGCAGGGTGATCCACGGAGAGTGGAGATCACACCCTTTGACAGTCAATATGATTTGGAGTGTATTTGGCAGGGTGGAGGTGGATCTCTTCGCATCAGTGGAGAACACTCACTGCCCACTGTTTTATTCACTGACACTGTCTCCCCTGGGAGTGGATGCACTAGCTCAGAGCTGGCCGAAAGTACGTAAGTATGCCTTTCCTCCAGTGAAGCTTCTGCCTCGCATGCTTTGCAAAATCAGAGAGGAAAGGGAATCTGTTCTGTTAGTGTCACCGAAATGGCCTAACCAGCCGTGGTTCCCAGAACTAGTAGAGATGCTGGTAGCCCCCCCGTGGACTGTCCCACTGAAGAGAGACCTCCTCTCTCAGGCACAAGGAATGGTATGGCACCCAAATCCAGAGTCATGGAGCCTTCAAGTCTGGCCGCTCAACGGGACTTGCCAGTAACAGATGCACTTCCTCAGCACGTGTTGAACACTATCTCTGAGGCTAGAGCTCCTTCCACGAGGCGTCTTTACGCACATAAATGGAGAATTTTCACAAATTGGTGCGTATCGCGGGGCGAAGACCCATATAACTTTCCAATACCAATAATTGCCTTTCTTCAAGAGAGATTTGATAGTGGTCGTATGCCATCCACATTGAAAGTGTATGTGGCCGCTATAACAGCCTTTCACGCGCACGTCAATAATCGCCCTATCAGCAGAAATTACCTGATCATACGATTTTTAAAAGGAGCAAGAAGGCTGAACCCTTATCGCCCTTCCACCCTACCCACTTGGGACTTGGCGCTTGTACTTGAAGCTCTCACGGGACCCCCGTTCGAGCCCATACAATCCAGGTCGTATACACCCCTGTACTGACACGCCACCAATCCAAATGCTCATCACATTGTTATGATATAGTTCATCACATCTTTTAGGACATGATCACCATCATACTCTTGCTTATTGGCGGTGCCATTTCATATTCTCTGTTTCACCAGCGTTAACTCTGCCCCTGGTGTGACGCAGCATTGTCTAGTGGCCGCAACCTAGCTCAGGATCTTAGAATGCCAAGTTGCTTTAGTCAAGATTCTGAATAGATGACGTACAAGCGCTGCTTTATATAGAGTGGAGCCCCTCATATTTCTCACGCTTGAACGCCATTGGCCAGTTTCACTGGCGTGATTCAATAAGGCTTCAGTAGTACTTGGAGGAAAGGGTAATTCCCATAGCAATGTCTCGTTCCCTCATCTCAGGGAACCGAAGTTACGTGAGTAACCGAGAGCGTTTTCACGTGCATACACATCTACCCCACAACCCTAATCCTACCCATTGCATATCATATGCAAGCCAAAGACAATTTTTGTCTATAAACAGTATGCCAAATCGAAACATAAACTTGTGCTATTGATACGCAATTTCATAAGATCAGGTTGAAATTTGCGAGCAGAATAGGAGAATGCTGATTGTTGCGGTTGTGTGTGCTTGAGTCATCTTTTCTACCTTGTGATGCAGTTTGGTACAAAAATATGTCAGGATAGTAGATTTATACTTTTGTCAGTGACCCAGCATTCAAGAGCGATACAGTCATTTAGTTACTTGAACCAACGAATCATAACCTCAGACTGAGTTTCTGACTACTAGTTTCATCATTATTTAAAAATACATAAAACCATGTTGAATAACCAGTGCGGTGTCCGTTATTGTGTTTGCAAATGTGTATTCTTAACCTTCACAAAATGCTGATTTTCCAACTCATAAGGTCGGTGTAAAATAAATAAATGTTAAAAAATTTTGCAACCCTGTTATATACAGTGGGTACGGAAAGTATTCAGACCCCTTTAAATTTTTCACTCTTTGTTATATTGCAGCCATTTGCTAAAATCATTTAAGTTATTTTTTTTCCCTCATTAATGTACACACAGCACCCCATATTGACAAAAAAACACAGAATTGTTGACATTTTTGCAGATTTATTAAAAAAGAAAAACTGAAATATCACATGGTCCTAAGTATTCAGACCCTTTGCTCAGTATTTAGTAGAAGCACCCTTTTGATCTAATACAGCCATGAGTCTTTTTGGGAAAGATGCAACAAGTTTTTCACACCTGGATTTGGGGATCCTCTGCCATTCCTCCTTGCAGATCCTCTCCAGTTCTGTCAGGTTGGATGGTAAACGTTGGTGGACAGCCATTTTTAGGCATTTCTGTCCACCAAAAATTTAAGGGGGTCTGAATACTTTCCGTACCCACTGTATGTCTAAATAATTTAGAATATTTTTTTAAGTAATAAAATAGTTTTATATACATTGGAATGGGTTGAAGTTCAATTATGTAATGACTGAAATTAATGCAAGGCGTTGTGCAGTAATTAGTACACAGGCTATATTCACACTTGCAAGCCTTTAGTACTCAATTCCAATTATTTTTTTTTTGTATAGCTGCTCACATTGTGGCCAATATCATATTTCCAGTGTGAACTGATTATGGTTCTGAACGGACATGCATGCATAAAAGAACAATACAGGGTTGCCAGATTTTCACAAAATCAGCCAGATTGCTTCTTAAAACTAGTCCAAAACTAGCCCGATCATGTTCCGGTGGTAAATATCACATTAGTGGGATCACTTCAGCCCACGAAGTTGAAAAATGACCCGCGACAACAATGGAAAAAGTAACCCAATTCCACTGGAAAACTGTGGACTTGGCAACACCTGCGCAGCGTGCTGTCATACAGAAATAAAATATTTGGATTTGGGCCACATTTGCCAGCAGTGTGAACAGAGCCAAAATGTCAATTTTTTTGCTGATAATTAACCAGTGCACTATTCTGATTTCCAGTTATAGCAAACAAATATTACTATTAATTTAATTTTTTGCAATAGTTTATGTGTCAGCAAACCAGACTAGATTCACTGGCAACGCATTTTACATCTGAGATTATGCATGCAGTAGATGCTGGGTTCATCTCAAGACAAACAGTGGGAGTCTTACCAGGCATTTTTATAAAACACTGTATTTTTTTATTTTTATTTTTAAAAAGAGACTACACATGCCAGACTACATGAGTTTCCTAAAGCACTAAACTCTAATATGTACATCACAGACACACAAAACTGGATCCGTTACTGTGCACCCCGTCCCTGTCATAATCCTGTTATATACATTTTTAATCAAATGTTTAAAAAAATTATAATTTGGCAGAAGGCATGTTCAAGATTTCTGCAGCAGCTTCCCATAACCCCCTCTGGCGGGGTCATAGTCCTGCCTGTACTCATCTCTGACCTGGAAACACACAGAGCAAGCTTGTAAAAACTGCTCCGGTGTCTGGTACACAGATTTACATTACACCCAAACAGAGCCACATAATGCTGGATCATGGAAAATAACACTGCATGTACAGTGGGCTCCAAAAAAGAGACATATCAACAAAATACTGAAAATTGAGACATTGAAAAGTTGAAAAGAAAAT